TTAAGTCTAGGATTTTTGACACACCCATGCCAAACAACCTCCTAATCTACACACAGGTTATATAAATCTAAAAAGGGTGGGTATAAAATCTCCCATTGCTTCTGAAGTAAATGTTAAGTCATGATGTTCCATAGCCTGGAACTTTTAGGAATACTACAGGAACAAAGGAAAAGTCAATGAAATAATGCACACAGGCCAAGTCCTGAACTCCTCACTTCAATGCCAGGTATTCTGATCTTATAGCCCCAGCAGCCCTTAGAATGGGGTACTGATGGGCACAGTGAGGGGCAGAAATATACAGGGAGACTGTAATAATGGGGTACTGATGGGCACAGTGAGGGGCAGAAATAAACAGGGTGACTGTAAGGGAACAAAGAGAAGACACAGGACTGAAAGTGCGCTGGTAAACATCTCAAGCAACCTACTTACTCTTCAGATGGAAAATGGAGGCCTGAGGAAGGAAAATGGCCCAACCAAAGTCTCACAACAAAACAGTAATAGACCTGAATGAGAACTTGAGTTCAGATGCCATGACTCCTTCCACAAAAGGCAATGCTTAAAAGTCACACAGGTTGGCAGGACAATGAGACATCCTATCAGCTGAATTCCCACCAGCAACCCCAGAAAACCACATGGAAGCTGGGGAGAGGACCTAGAAGCCAAAAAACCTTAATTAGAGACCTACTTTACCCACTAACCAACAACCACCCACAATTCTCTCCCCCACTTCTCATCTGACTCTACACTCCTCCTGAGTGACGATACTTACTCTACAGTCCCATGATTTCAGATTTCCTACCCACCCCAAATCAGACCTTAACATTCACAAAGATAAAATTACCATATTATTTTTCACCCCTCCCCACTCCCAAGTCTGTTAATCTCAATCTGTTAATCTCAGTCTGTTAAAAGTTGAGGAACCACCCTGGTTCCTCAATCCCCACCAGCACCCTGTCCTCATAACTGACACTACTTTTCTCCTCCTAGCACTGACCTGCAGAAGACCATTACTGTCATTTATCTGGACTATTTCAAGGGCCTCTATTAGATTTTCTGTCTTTGGCCAGTATTACTTTCCTAAAATACAAATCTGGTACATTAAAAAGATGAACATAAAAATAATGATAAAAGAAATAAGAAAATATTAGAGACCGCTTTACAATCTAGAAGAGTTGTCTAAACATGAGATTAAACTACAACTATAAAAGAAAACATGCAAATTTAGCTACATTTATATTTAAAGTTATATGAGAAAGAAAAATGACCACATGTAAGATGAAAGGACAAAGAAAATAATATATAATTATATTGTACTATGTATGTAATATTGTAATATGTAAGTGTCAGAACAGAGGTCAGCAAACTATGGTTCATAGATCAAATCCTTCCACTGCCTATCCTTGTAAATAAAGTTTTATTGGCAATCACCACACTCATATACTGTCTACAATTCTGCACTGAAGCCCACAAGGCTAAAATATTTATTATCTGACCTTTTACAGAAAGTCTGTGGACCCTTGACCTAGAGTACACATAAAGAGTTCCCACAGATCAATAGGGGGAGGAGGGAAAGTAACCAAATAGAAAAAAAGTAAACACTATAAATGGCAATCCACAATAGAAACAAAACATACCCAACAAATATTATACAAAGAGGCTTAATCTCTGGTAATTAGAAAATTATTAAAGGATTAAGTCATTTAATAATAGTCAATCCTGGTAATAGCATGACACAGCCTTTTTTGGAAGGCAATTTGGTGATATCTGTAAAAAAATTGAATGCGCTTTATGGCAACCCAGTTGTTCTATTTTTAGTTGTCTACCCAGAGAAATACTTGAATTTGTGCAACCAGGCACACACAAATCCAAAAGCATGTAGAATGATGTCTGCTCAAACATTCACTGTTTATAACAGCATAACTCAGAGGTAGTGTTGGTGTCCATCAATAAGGTAATGATTAAACTATGTACCACATCCCTCGTGGTACAATATGCAGAACAATTTGGGTATACTTCTATGTAATGCCATGAAAAAAAGCCGCAAGACATGTTATTAAGAAGGAAAAAAAAATATGTTGCAGAGTAAATATGTCCATACAGTTTAAGTTTAAAAAGGTTTCTATTGTGTATTTGAATATATCCCTGATGAGAATACAGAAGGACTGAAGATTAAACATCACCTTGTGCACCGGAGCTGGGACAAGAGAGAGGCATGACAAGTACTAAAGGACTGTCATTTATTTCTTACCCTGGATCACTCTAAATTCCAACCGTGAAGAGAGAGCAATCTCAAGCCCTGGTGGGCTACACCTAGACTGCCCTCCAAGTCACCTTCTACAGCACAAACACCCTTGGCCTTGTGTGTTCATGGGGTAGCCACTGTAGACCCTTGAATATGAACAGGATAATGAACAGTGATTTAAGAACCCTGGCTGTGAACCCCCAAATGGGAAGTCGCTTCTTTCTCTGGTTCAGTCTTCTCATGTCAGTCAATGCCGCTCACTGCTTCCCTGGTCTGTGTGTCCTCGCCTATTAAAGAGGGGGGGTGGCCTGCATGATAGCTAATCTATCTTCCAGCCTTGATAGATAGTCTAAAATAGCTCAGGATGGGGAGGGGTGGCGGGAAGCAAAGACTTGATGGGAACCAATTGGCTGAGGTTTTCTAATGGAGCCATGAGGATGAGTGTAAGGGCTGGGGGAGGGCCGGATGCACAGAGCAGCAGCTAAGGCTGTTGGCAACCGTGGAGTCTCCCTCCTCTTTTCAAAGCAGTTTCTTCCTGGAAGATCCCAGGAGGTAGAAGGCTGGCCTAATCTCTCCCAGCACAAATAACGCCACTCATTATTTCAGAAACTACCATTCCAGTTGTGCCCTGGAGGACTCAGGCCTGTTTCAAAACCCACAATTCAACTGTGGATACAGTGAAAGAGTAATTTAAATGTGTGACACCCCCTTTAATCCAATTAATAAGCAACAGATATTTTTTTAACAGATTCCATTCAACTGTACAGAAACCATCCAAGTTTATCTGCATTTAAGAATAAAAAAATGGACCCTGTGATGTGTGAATTCCCAATTTACCAGTTTTAGCAGTTGCCTGGAATCACCAGTACAACCTCTCAGAATAACCTTTGCCAATTCATAAATTCCTAAATCAAAATAAACAGTTTTAACAAGACAATGACTTTCCTTACTTATCACTACAGCCTGGTGAGGAAGCAAAGACAGGGACCTCTACTCTCAATTTAAAAATAAAGAAAAGCAAAGGGACTTGTTCAAGGTCATCTAGCTAAAAGTGACAGTCAAAACTAGGAGCAAAGTTTCTTGACTCTGATGACAGGACACTCATTACCACATTAACTGCTTTCTAGAAAAAGAAGATCAAGGCAAGAGAAAATCTCCCTGAAATGTCTGCCTACCCCACCAGATTGCCTTCTTACTAAGACACTTAGTTATACCCTTTCCAAGCTGACTGGTCCTTTCGTCCTACCGTCGTTATTACTGCGAGGGCTGGAGAGTTTAGTTAAGCTTTTGGTTTTAGATGAGTCTTTTTTTCCTGACTGTTGGGAACCTAACCTCCAAAGAAGGCACCAAGACCCGGGCCATCACCCCTGCCCTGCGTCCTACTCTGGTCTGCTGTGTAAACAAGTCAAACTCTGAGCACTTAAGCGGCATTCAAAACAGCCAGGCCAGGCCGGTCCACTTCAAAGCAATGTTTTCCATCTAAGAGGTTCCTCTGCAAAAGGAGTGGCTACAACTAGGTCACACTGGACTGGAATGTGAAAAGAGCTCCACTGGTCTCATTCAGAGAGATGAGAGAAAGCTCCTAAGAGGAAGGAGACTGAGCAAGGGCCACAGGCACATGGGAAGAAGACAAGGCTTGGTCAGGAAATCCAATGAATCTGCATGTTCCAAAGTCCTCCCAGCGTTCCAGAGAATCCTGGAACAGTGGGAGCTCAGAGAGCAAACCCCTGAGGGGTCCCCCAGGCCAGTGGAGACTGCAGTCAAACTTCTAGGGAGTCAGCTGTTATCAATACAAATTTCCCCCTTCTCTTAAATCACTCCTGGACTGGCCCCCAAGATTCTGTATTGAAAGATTGTGATGCAGGCTTGGGACCTACTAAACTAGTCCAAAGCCCTCATCTGAGAGGTAAGGCTGGGACAAACGAGCTCATCTTCCCAAAGGCCCACAGGTCCCTTCATTCCTTGCCATGTGACTGGAGCCCTGTAAGGAAGGGCAGGGTGCGGACAGGAACCCCAAGCTCACCCATCAACGAGAGGGCCTCCGGTTAAGTTCAAGAACGAAGCCATCCTCCCATACTTCAAGGCCCTCACCTCTCTTCAATTACTGAGAGTGCAATGATTTAGAAAAAGAGCAGACTAGGGCTGACAAGCGAAAAGCCCGCTCAGTCAGTCTTACTCCTTTGGCCATTGTTGGGGGACGAGTCTAATAACACCCAATCCAAAACAGGGTCTAAGAGGGGGTCCTGAGAAGCAGCAAGCAATCGCCAACGGTTTTGTTTCTACTAAGAAAAACCAGGCATTTTTTGAGTCACCCAAAAAGCATGAATCACAAGGCAAGGCTATGGGAACGGGAAAGGATGTTATTTTTCGGCATACTTGAGGATATTCTTTTTGTCCCGACTCTATCAATACATTTCCCAACGCCCCCCACCCCCAATCTCCAACCTCACCCCCCCCAAGATGCACTTTTTTCCTCTCCATTTTCTTCCTCCGGTAGCCTTCACAGGCACCCCCTCCCTTAGCCCGCCTCGTTAACTGGGCCACGTCTGCTCCCCTTTCCCATGGCAGGACGGAGGTCGCCGGGCGTCAGAACTGGAGGCGGCGGCCAGTTCCCCCGGCGAGGCACTCTGGCCCACCCCAGGCGACTCCTCGCAACACCTAGCGGGGAGTCCGCGCGCCCCGCAACTTCCAGCCCGAGAGAGTGGCCGGGGGTCCGCAGCCCCGCGCGGCTCGGGGCCTGGGTCTCCGCCTCGCTCACCTGCGTCAAGTCCTCGTCGTTGAGCAAATGCGACTCGCGGGGTTTGAAGCAGTTCTGACACTTGCTCTTGTTGAAGATATTGGCCTGGAATTTCCTGCACGGGTTCTCCTTGGCCGCGGACATGATCGGCGCGGCGGCGGCGGCGGCGGCGCAGGCCCGG